TTCAACGTTGATTCAATGTTTCTGGCTGACATTGATTCAATGTTGTTTCAATCATTCTGTGCTATCTGGGACTTCATCCGGGCTGAATCCGTCACCGCTTTATAGATTTTCTTTTCCAGGGATGACGTACGGCTCGATTCACTTTGGACGGCTTTCGTTTCATCACTGTGATGACTCTACTTCAAAGTGAAAAAAATCAAGCCCTCTCTCTCTCTTCCACACAAACACGTTTCACACAATAAAGCTGTGAAATATCTCCCTGCTTTACAAGCTGCTCCGCATTCTCTCAGTTTTGATCTGCCCATGTTGTATTTGCAGATTGCGCTACAGAGGTGGCACCTGCGCTGCTCTTCGTGCATAATAACAGGGCTACTGGCCATGAGCGCACAGCCGCTCTGAGCATCTACTTCTTTATTTTCACTAGGCTCTGCATCAGCTGCTGAGGAAGGAAGTGGTCTGTGATTTCTCCCGATAACTGCCTCTTGAACCACCAGTCTGCAGTCTTGATGACCTCAGGCTGTTGAGGATCTCGGGAACCCGAGGGGGGATTGGTGCCATGGCGATAAAGCCGGTAACCGGCCGAGGCTTGAACTTCCTTGTACGGCCCAGGCTGGCACAGGCTGCTGTTCTCAGACAAAGGCTCAAAAAATGTATCCAGAAATGTAAACATGGGCGCTGTTCGCCAGATGTTTGGCGTGATGTGACTGCAGCAGACTGGGAGCGGGGTGTTAACTCAAAGTCAACTCCTCCTGGCAAGGCATGAGCACAAATAGCCGCCCACGTTCTTTTATGGGGACCCTGCTTGTGGTTTTGTTTCTCAGATGCCTTTGAGCTAATGCAAACTTTTCTCTCCCCACTTTTTAAATGGTAGCACCACAAAGACAGATAGGGCAGAAGGCATGAAGCCAGAGATGAGGAGGGTGGGTACTTTAACTGCTCAGTGGGATTTTTCTCACTTCAAATGTTCAGAAAGTCAAATATTTTTTTTATAATCTGCACTAGATTAATGCAATTTCCCCCCAAAATTCAGGAAAAATGCGGCTGATAATTAAGTTTTCTGATGCGAACATGATTCCCTGAATAAATCTGCATGTGCTAACACTGCAACCACACTGCACATGCCTCACAGCTCAATCATGAATTACTAGGGAAAGCCCACTCCAGTCCCAAAATCTGGATCAGGGCCTTGTTCACATTGTTTTCCAATGAACAGTAAATAAATCCTGGTCTGTGATTCAAATCAAATTGTTTAGTTAGTAAAGCACAACAACGACTTAATCGTCGTCTGCATGTGATGAACTGAAACTGCACAGAAATGTGTTATCAGTCAAATTACCAATGAGTGATAGTAAATGAGAGAGAAAACACGCTAGCAAGAAATCGAACAACGTTAGCTTGTTAGCAGGGAAATGGAAATGAGTTTGTTCAAGGTGTCACCAGAGGCGTCCACTGAAATGTCGGTGGAGAGAAACTTATGTTGGATTTAGCTCTCCTACTGCGACATGTCGTTCTTTGACTGGACCGTCTAAAGCTACAGATTTACCAGGCCCCCAACCAGCTGCAGATTTGGGAGGTGCACACCAAATCAGCAGTTGGTTTCTGAAACTTTCTTCAACTCAAATTTAAGACATCTTTATGATTACAACGTAACATTTAAAACCTATATATTGATGGAAAAATATGCCGTTAAGCACGCTTGCTAAAATACACTTACTTTAACGAGCTTATTCAGTCATTTCCTGTTGCATGCCCCATTTCTGGACTGTAGTTGCTCCTTCTCCTAAAAACTTTAGTGCAGGTCTCACGGTTTGGTTCCTGTAGTTTGATTTTAGATTTTCGAACTCTAAGTTGCACTTAGCTTCATTTACAATGTTCGTTTTCAAAAGAAGTGAGTTGATGGAGAAAATTAACCAACTGGCGATAAATTTGCCGATAAAAAGCTAGCTAGCTAGGGTATATTTGTTACTGGTAGCCTCAACTTCTTGAAGTCACAGAATACATTGAAGGTGTTTGACTCAAACCTTTGCCTGATGGGAACGTCCTGCAGGAAAACATTAAGACTACATATAGCCTACGAGAATAAGCCGAAATTAAACAGAACTGCCATGAAGAAATTTAAGACCTGTGGTTAATGTATTTAAGGCCAACTTGTGTTTCTTTAAATGAATTTAACACAATTTAAGGCTTTAGTTTTAAACACATGAATTTAAGACTTTTCAAGAAGATGCGGACACCCTGATATTGTTAAATGACTCAGATTTGTGTTAGAGTCGTCCTTACCCAACATCGACCTTTTCCAAATCTCACACACACAAAAAAACTACAATCTAATCTAAAGCCTCCCACAAAGAGTCCCTGGCCATCTGATTTCAAATCCTATTTGGAGCTAATTTCTCTGCTGCCTCCCAGGAATTAGATGGTTGATACCAACACCAAACCCCCGACAGCTGCTGCTGCTGCATTCCACTGTACGCCGTCGGAGCAGCCGTCCAGCCCAGAAACAGAAACCACCATCACCGGCCTTCTGGCTAATCTCATTTTCTCCTCCCCGAGCAAAGAGGCCAACATCTGGCCTCAAAATCAAATCACAGCTTTAAGAGCAAACTTTTGCCTGGTGAGGGTTTAATAAAATAGCAAATATAATGGAAAATGATCACTTCTTAAACTGAAGAGAACGTTCTCTGTTTTAGGTCTTAGCAACACTAAGCTACCTCTAGCTGCTTTAAAAAAAAATCATTGAGGTTTTTCTCATTTTTAGTCACTATGTTCCTTGTAAAGTTTTTCATTTGGGTTTGCGGTGATGTCAACATTTCTGCCATGGTTTCCCTCACCCTCAACAAGAACGAAAACAGAGCAGACTTTTGAAGTGAGGCTCTGGTGGTTCCAATATCCCACCTGCACTATGTAGTTTTCTTGCGTTCCTCACTTACAATTTGTTGAGATTAAAACTAATGGCTAGTCAGAGAAGGGCAGAGCTACTGTGTTAAAAAGAACCTTGGAAACGGTTTGTGTGAATGTTTTTTAAAGTAAGGCCAACGATTAATCACACAGGAAATTGAGGTCGGAGGAGGCGCGCCATTGATGATCTTCCAGAGTGAAACGCCGAGAAAAGAACATGTAAAGGGAAACTAATAATTTAAGCATTCTGAAGAGCAAAAATATTACTGATTGAGACAAACTGCCTTATTTTATTTAATTTATTTTTTGTTAGGTTAGCTGCAACTGTTTTTGTTTTTAAGCGTTTTTCACACAGTATGATTATTGGTGGCGCACAGCCTTCGACCTCCTGTTTCCATGTTTATCAGCCTCTTTGCAAAAAAAGAGATTTTAAATAAAGATGATTTAAAAATCAATAAAATAACTTTCATATAAATGCTTTGATATACAACAGCCGCCAGCTTCCACTTTCAGTACTAATTTCAACGTATCCTGAGTTAAGATGAGAAGAGGTTTTTTTTGTTTTTTTTTTACAGCAGGCAAGATATCTGAATTTATGAATCAAAGCATATGTTCCTTACCTGCATTAAGTTTATTAGACTCAAAATAAATGCATCAATGCAGATGAGGTCAGTTGGCGTGTCCTTTGAGAAAAACGGTGGGAAGTAAGTTTGTAATCAATTAAAGGCATAATGAATTAAAATGCGCTGGATAATTTGAATTCTGATAAATATTTATTTGTTTACAGAAACTTCATAATCCGTTTTATTTATGTTGCAGTTGCGTATGTTGTTTTATTTCCATTTTATTTCTTATTTTTGTTTTTATTTGGATATTTAATATGTCTTACGGTTACGGTGTGGATTTTCTGTACAAAATTAAATCTAGTCTTTGAGACGGTGAACTTAAATTATTATGCCATTATCATGATACAAGTTGAAAATTGACTCAAAATGACAATATTATTGTTTATCGCAATAATCACTGGGACAATTTATTGTCCAGCAAAATTTGTTATCGTGACATTTTTTTCCATACTCATTGATTAGAGCCGATCAGGAGAATATTGGCAGGTTCCAGCGTCTTCCTGAATGACTGGCACATTTCTAATAGATAGCAAAATTGAAAACGGGGCCAATTTCAGCTCATCTGACTTAACACATGAAAATAGGGAACTTAAAGAGCATAAAAATGGAGAATGGAAAACAAGACAGGACGTAAGAAGGAATATGGAGACAGGAAACGCTCAGAGGAGCCTCCGGCAGACATTCGAGCGTTGGCAGTGGCGCATAAAGACTCGTCCAGGGGACTTCTAGTGTTCAGACGCATCTAAGCGCCGATGTGTGAACATCCTCACGCCGCACCACCACCACTCCTTCTCTGCAAGATTCCAAGGAAAACCCGGCGACCCCAGCTGCTAACCGGACAGATCTGAAAACCCAAGGCTGCAGCTTCTCCCCTGATGAGACCAAAACGTTTTGCTCAAATCTGACCGTAAGCTCTGGAAAACACACTCCCAACTCAGTACACACCATCCATGTGGTATTTCATTTTATTTCCTTTTCATTACGGCACACTTTTTCCTTCATGAACCTTCTTCACTCGCATTGATTTTCTTAGTCCGAACGGCACAAACAGAGCACACACACACACACACACACACACACACATACGCACACTATTTACAACCACGCAGACGAGCTTAAGGTGCATGATCATGAACGTGAGCAGAAACCTGTGACACTTGTTTGGTACTCTCAGCAGACCTTAAGGTCTCCATGTTTTGCTTCTGAACCCGCGTCCAGCTCTGGAAGGAGGTCACCGAGTATGACAGGAAGACATCAGAGGGTGAGGGGGTTGAAAGCTGAGCGTCTGGAGGCTGTAAGCCTCAGTGAAAGCAGACAGGAACAGGCAAAAAATAAAATAAAATAAAAACGCTTGTTGGTTCCCTGCCTTTTTTTTTATTTATTTATTTTTCTTCCTACAAGTGTGTCCAGTGGGGGATGAGATACAAAGTAAGCGGGCGAGGAGAAATAGCTTGGCCTCTCACTGTGACGACGGAACGACGGGGAAAGCAGTGATTTTTTATTTTATTTTTGTTCATCCAGTGGTTTCGTCCTGCTGAAGCTGAACTTATAAACCCATTGTTGTCATGTTCCCTTTTTAAAACCCCCAAATAATTTGAAGAGCTTTTAAATTCCTGCATCACCTTTGTCATCGTCGTCCGTCGAGATTTCGTCCGTCGGTGTCAGCCCACCTCGAGAGCTCAGTGCGAAGGCCTCTCTCGGGCACTTCTGTTAGGTATGTTCCCAAAGCGTGGTCTCTCAGACTTCAGTCGTTCTGGACTTTGTTTTTATAAGGGTTCTCTAGGAGGTAGTGATACCTTTTATGGTTCTCCATTATGTACTTGGGGGCGAACATGTGCTCTTTGGGGTCCGCAGGGGGATATTCCTGCACGGAGCCATCAAACCAGCCCCCTGTCCGGATCAGTTCCCGGATGTAGTTGAGGTCGCGTTTGTCTTCGTAGTCCCCCCACCTGGGGAAGTCCCCGTTCTGCGCCGACACCAGCTTGAAGTAAATCCCCTCGGGCGTGAAGCACCAGGAGCAGTGCCAGCCGGCGAAGTGGAAGGGGCTCCCCACGGACCACTGCACCAGGATGTGGCCTGTGTCGTTCTCATACTTGCGGAAGCCTGGCATGGTGTAGTATTCGCGTCGCCGCAGCTTGATGCCGTCGCCGTCGTAGACGTCGCGGAGCATCCTGAGCGTGCAGCCGGACACCACCTCCAGAGTCCCAAACTGCTTCCAGAAGAAGCCGTACAAAGACTGGAGACGGAGAGACAACCACAGTTACAAACAGCTCCGCTGTACGGTCGCCGTGCACACGCCACTCTGTGGCATACCGCTTGCGTACCTTTCGCATGTGTATGGCAAACGGTTCGGTCCAACCGTCGAACAACTTGAGGAAAAGGAGGCCTTCCTGCGCCGGGATTTCATCGGCGTCGTTGATGATGAACACGTCGTCTGACCTGGCCCCCTTCACCCTGGACAAGCCGTTGCGTGTCAGAAACGTCCGCAGATAGTCGTCGGCTATCCATCCGTCCTGCCGGCCGCCGTCGGGGAAGTGGTCGAGGAACACATAGAGGATCTTATGACGGACGTAGTCGTACGTTCCGTTCAGAAGGAGACGAAGGAAACTAGGGAGACAGACAAAAGGAAATTGTCAACGCTAAAGTCGCCATTTCCAATTCTCTTAACTTCGGCCAGAACCAGCTAATGGGCCGTTGGTCAGTCATTTCAAACTTACAGTGCCTCATTTCATCACACTTATGTATTTAATACGAGTTGATGTGATAGACCAACACAAACCGGTTAGTCTATCAACAACTAATAGACCAACATCTCTTCATCTTCATCTCTTGGATGAAGGGGCCAAGCGATATACCGGTTGGTCTATCAGGTCTATCGGTTTATCCAAAATGACACATGGTTTTCAGCATTTTTTACAAATAAAAAATGAAAAGAATGGTGTGTAGCTGTATTCAACCAAGTCAGCACTTTGTAGACCTTTTGCTCCAAGGACAACTAGAAGTGTTTTGGGCTGTGTCTCTGCCAGCTTTACACGTCTAGAATAAACATACTTTCAATTCATTCCACAGACTCTTAATTGAAGCTAGGTCTGGATTTCGACTGGGACAACACTTCAACATTATTTGATTTTAACTCCAGTTTAGGCAGGTTTGTAGTCGGTGTAAAACTCTTTTCATTTTCAGACAAACTGAACTTTGCTGTTAGACGTAGAACCCTGGTTTAAACATCATGGCTGACCCGTCTCAGGCGTTCTTTGGTCTCTGTGGTGCTTTTCGTTTATAGATCTTGTCCAATAAATCTCTAAGGCCTTCATAGAAAATTTTCAGATTCTTATTTGGAAGGAAGAGTCTCTGTAAAGCTGCTAAAATCACATTTCTCTGCCTAACCATTTCCCTTGGTGAATTAAAAACTAATTATGATTGCGGTTATTCTGTCTAACGGAAACCGACGAGGCCAAATGATCACCGCTGGGTTGAAAACCAAACGGAGATCCAAAACGAATCCACCGAGCATTGGCGGTTGGTGCTTGACAAACACCAGCTCTCTGCTCAACACACACCAGACTTCCTGAGAGGACCAGCTCTATTAACCTGTTGATACACGTAGCCAAAAAAGAAAAAAAGCGGCGTGTGTAGCCGCTTTCATGCCGTGCCGTGTCCTGTGATTGAACACACCAATCTCCCTCCTCGCCCAGTCAATCATGCCGCTCGTCATAATCTCCTGGAAAATTGCTTTCAAGGTGTTTCACGTCGTTGCCAAAGAAACCAAACTGTAATTATTATTCTGCACACCGAGTCTCAACAAGCATGAAGAATGACTGCGTACAACGGAGAGAAGCTAGAAGGGAAAAAAACCCCAAAACACTCAAAGCAACAACAGTTTGTTTTTGCCATCTGAATGGGAACGTAGAGCATGAATAGAGCTCCTCTGGTATTGATGACCTTAAATCAGGCATTCAGCAGAGCATCAACAGGTACGGCGGCATCAGAACAGCTGCAGCAGCAACCAAAGCACAGATCTTGTTTCGGAGCTGTGAAAATGGCTAACGGGGTTGGCTTATTATAAAACTAATTTGTTTGATTTGAACCTGTCCAAGATGAACGGCCAGCAACAATGTTGAGGCGAAAGCAACAGAAAACAAAATCCACAACAAAAGGACGATGTCTGACTGTGACCAGAAACTAGTCAAACCAGGATTTAATGATTCCAGCAACACACATTTGATGCTCTGCACTATCCAATTTCAAAATTAATTTCCAGATACCAAAAAATAAAAAATAAAAAAAATTCCAAAGAAGTGGTCAGAGAACATTTTAGCACAAATTTATAATGCGTCATTAAAAATAACCTAAAAATTAAAACAATAAGTAAATAAAATCTGGTATCTTAAAATTGTTAGACATGAGGAGTTATTGTAAAAACAAAGTACAACCACTATCAGTTCAACAGCTTTACTCATCAGCTCATTAGTACTGATGTTGCCTTTATTGAGTTTTTGAAATGGTCTAAATTTAATCTAAAAAGCACAAAAACACACAATTGATCAAAAACTCATTGATAATTCAACAAAAATAAAGCTGAGAGGGGAAAGCTGGAAGTGAATAACCTGAGGCAGCAGCCATTTGTTGATGATTAAATGCATTTATTTATCTGTTAGGTTTAATAGGAGCGTCTCAGTAAAGACCGTGACCCCAAACAACTGTAAACCCTACAACCAAGTATTAGAAAACGGAAAAACAACGGTGTACTAATGTCCCAGTTAAAGTTCAGACCCAAACCTGATGCAACGCTTGTGCAGAGACACGTCGGTAAAGCTCCAGTGACTGCATGGATGCCGTAAAGTCGGTCACAATTCATCTGCAATAATGTGAGAGACTGACGGAGGAAAACACATTTCTGACTCTGATTACTGTTAAAGACTTCGACACAAGCTGTTGACTGTACTTTGTTTAACCACCCACAGCTTTTCATTGTGGATTTATTTGTGCTGGATAAATAATAAAGTGTAATTTGTTGTATGTTTTTCAGTCTTAGAGAGATTTTAACCTGATATGTAAAGCCTTAGCCTGTCACAATAAGCTATAAGTAAATTATAGCTTACTGATTTATTTCTCATGAAATTTGTTCACGAGAAATTAACAAATTTCATTTGGACGACAGTTGTCAAAGAGACGCTCCCATTTCATATCGCTGAAGAGCCGCCATTTTGAGAAACGTTGCAAACATTCGACACCCGGTGTGAAGTAGTTGGTCTGCACTGCCTGCCACTTTTGCCTGTTTTCCCTGTCGAGACAGAATGACCTAACAGAAATTGCTCCGTTTTCTTTTATTTTGGATATTTAAAATGTCTTCTGGTATCAGTGTTAAATTTTCTTTTCAAAATTCAAGTTTGTTTGACTTTTCAGTATGTGTGCTCGGATTATTATGCCATTATTATTATGAGTTGAAACTGGTCTTAACATGACAATATTATCGTTCATCGCCATAATTTCTGGAGCAATTTATCGTGCGGTAAACTTTATTGTCGTGATTGTGCATGACATTCCGCTCCCAAATGAAGAAATGAAGATCATGCCATACCTCAGCGGCCGTTTCTCTCCGTATGCGGTAAAGTTTGACTCGCACACCAGGAACAAGTCCACGGCCTGCGAAAGCTCGTGAAAGCGCGTGTGCAGCAGGTCGAACTCGTGGTTGATGTTGATGGCGTTGATGACTCTCCGCGGCGTCTTTCTGGGCGTCAGCCGCTCCTTCGTTGGCAGGTTGGAGTGGTACACCATGGTGGGAACCCCACAGTAAGGTCCGTGCCAGCCCGGCCGGCAAACACACTTCACCAGCTGCTTCCCGCTGCCCAAAGGCTGACCTTTGCCCTTTGTCTTTCCGGGCTGCTGCTGAAGCCCCAGAGGTTTCCGCTGAGCGGCTTTATCTACGTCCAAAACGTCACCAGCCGCACCCGCTGCTGCTTTTACAGAGGATTCCTTGATCTCCGTCCCCTGTCTGAAACAGTAGGCCCCACGACTCGTACGCACAAAATACGAGGTTTTATCATCCTGGAGCTGGTAACTGCGGGTGTGAAGGTCTCCCATGGACTTTATCGGGTCAGGCAGCTTTTCTTTTCCTAATTGTTCCCGCAGTTTTTGTAGGTTGGGTTCAACGTGACTATTGTCACTTTGTTTCTAGAAGGAAGAAGATAAGAAGGAGTTCAGGTCCACTTCAGGTAAATACTCTGGCATTTCATTTACCACGTTTTTACTATTAGCACTCATTGGCTTACTCTGAAAGTAAGTTTATTTGTAAAATAACTGCTCTAGAAATGAGTGGTGTACACTAAACCTTCAAAAGATTTTGTTTTTTAAAGTTATGAGTTGTAGGTCTCTTAAGGAATTACATAAAAAAATATATACAAAAGTTGGCAGTGCTAACTAAAACATTAGCTGAAGGAGCGGCTGATGCCCAAAAAGACGCCGCGGAGAGTCATCATCGCCATGTTTTAACAGAAGCTAATGCCACACTGCTAACTTCAACCAAGAGGAGAATGTGAGAACAACTCACACACAAGATGTTCTGTATATGAATAATTAACAGCCATGCTTGTTAATTTCCCTCTGGGATTTATAAAGTATTTTTGAATTTGTTTATGCGAGTGCTGTATTCTGCTTAAAATATATCCAGAAAAACTAATTTCGTGGACGCTAAGTGCTCTTAGCATTTTCAAAGTTAGCTAAACAAATAATTAGCTTACCTATTAGCGCATTAGCAGAGGCGTACCCACCACTGCTTACATATTTGTATATATATTCTCCGTGCAACAGGCACAAAATTATGTTGTGCTTGTGGAGGCTTTTAGGTCAAAGTGTTTTGTTCATAAGGAGGAGAAAAATCTGAAATCGAGTCTTCATCTCTGCTCTGGTGTAGAATTGAACAGAGAAACAACTAAGAGTGCAAAAAAAGTGCTAGATTAGAATAGAATGGACTTTATTGATCCCCAAGGGGAAATTGCTTATTTGTTGAAAGTAACTCCATCTTAGGTAATAGATACAAACTTTGTAAAAAAAAATTATATATATATATATATATATATATATATATATATATATATATATATATATATGTGTATAAAAGACGTCCAAGATGGCCTGTATCTTGGACAGGATCTTTCTATAGCTTGTGTCAATATTTTTTCCCCTCGTCTTAATATTTACCTGTCCACATAAGAGACAGATTTGTATCTTTCAAATTTAGTTATGTTGACAAACCAAACACAAAATCTATTTTTGTCAGAATAAATTTGGACCATCATCTCGATGATGGGAGTGAGAAGGTCTTATGTTATGTCACCTTCCTTAAGCCTTTCTTTTTTTTTTTTTTTTTTTTTTTCCAAAAAATGTTTTAGAAAAAAAAAAAAAATCACATTTGGCAAAATAAAATAAGTGACGTAGGCCATCATTTTAGAAAGGTGACAATATCATGAATCCATTTAAACCTGTGTTGATAATACTCTAATGTAAACTATTCAACAAAGTTAATCAAAACTAAAAAAATCTCTAACATCTATGTTGTAAACTGAGGTCCTACTCTGGCTTCATTTGGACAAAGACAGATCGACCATCCTGACAAAAAAAACAGAAAAGACAAGTCTAAGCTTTTCTCTTGTAACAGGATTCATCTTTAAGTTCTGATGCCGAAGCTGGAAGCCTCAGCCATACAGCCATATAATCCACTTTACATGCACTGTTAGCATGCAGTAACTCAGAAAGCCAGGGTGTTGAACCTCTCTTGGCGAGTCTCCCAGCTGGTTCTCCTCTGGTTTTTCCCAGGGATGCGGAGGCTCCGGCTCCTTCATCGCTCTCACCTCGAAATGTTTAAGGCCGGCCACGCCGGCCACTCTGACGTCCAACGCTCCCGGGTCTACCGCTCCCCCTCCTCCGCCTCCATCCCCCAGAGACCCCGCCCCTCCGCCAGGCTTCGCCGCGCCCTGGTGGAGGACGGGCAGCGGCGGGGCCTCTTCGGGAGAGGCGGGACTGAGCGGGGTGGCAGCGACGCCCTTCTCCCTCCAGAAGAAGCCAGAGACCATGATGAAGGACTTGATGTTGGGGTACGGAGCGGAGAGCTCGCGCAGCAGGGAGACGTAGTGCAGGGCCTTGTAGTAATGGAGGAAGGAGATGACACACAGACCCACCGTGCACAGCAAGAACACTCTGTGCCGCCGCATTTTCATCCTGATGGGGAAAAAGTGGACAGAAACGAGGAAACGTGTCAATAAAAACGTGACATCCTCCACTAAATGAAGCTAGCTCAGCACACACACCCAGTAAAGTACCAGGCTCTGCAGCTCGATAATTCCTTGATATTAATTTAAAAAAAATACTAGTTCTACTGGAAGATTATGACATGACATGAGAAAAATGTCTTGTTATAAATTAAATAATCTGCCAGTTGAACTAGTATTTTTTTTTCTTATATTAATAAATAACTGACCTCTTGCTTGTTTTACATCCTGCTGAAAAGTTATTTGTAAGTTAGTTTTGTCTCATTTCAGTTGTACTGAGATATTTGTCCCAGAAACTCGACCAGAAACACTTGGTAAGATTTTGTGTTCTTTGTAGTGTGTTTAGACTTTGACTAGGCCAGCATATGAGTAAGCCTTAAGCTAATGCTAGGTGATTTTAGCACAACATGGATTGTGATGATGACATGGATCATAACAAACCCTAATGTGTTTTTCTCAGCCTCCAACAGCTTTTTGTTAAGCGTGGCAGCATCAAGAAGCATGATGCTGCCACTGCCATGTTTTCCATCAGGTTGCCTTCAGGATGAGTTCAGTTTCTTACAGGCATATTTCACAAGTTGTTCAATCTTGGGTCTCATTTGGACATAATAACTTTTATGAACAGCCCATTTCAGCTTTAAAGTGAGGTTTTCCACATTTTGGGATATTGCTTTTGTAACCTAATCCTGCTTTCAACCTGTCCACAACCAAACTACGCCGACTCGGGTAGTTTATTTCTAGATAAGTTCCACAAAAGTAAAGTTCATTCACTAATTAGGCAAGAGCTGGAGGGAGTTTGTTGTACTGGATTTCATTCATTTGTATAAGAGGGGGCTAAATACAAAACCACACCACATCAGATTTTTAGTGGCTAAAAATGCCGTTGCTGCTGCTACCAAAACCGTGTGTCACTACTTTGTGTCAACATGTCTATTAAAAGTAATAATATACAGTGAAGGCTGACATTTTAACATGACAAAATATAGAAAAAGGTTCCACATAATCAAATACTTCTGTAATAAACTGAATGTTACGCAGAAAAAGGAAGTCAGAACAGCAACGACCAAACCACAGATGACAAGGTGAGAGGTGAGGAAGAGTTTAAGCCTTTCAAGCTCAGATTATGTTCAAACAAGTCCCAGAAATTGGTCTGTTTTCAAATGTTTTCCATTTTCATAAAAGTTTCCATGAATAATAATAATAAAAAAATAGAGCAGAGCAAGAATTCGCTCTCAACTCGAGTGAACTGGAAGGCTCACTTTCAAACGGGTTTGACCGAGTGCCACTGGAGTGGAAAGCCCTCCAGACCCAGTGGAAGAGCAGATGCTGTGATGACTCCACATCACAGCATCACAGGTCACACACACTCCCAGCGTCCTCAGCATCCTTTCTGTACGGGAACCCAGCAGTGAAGTGTGTGAGCACCAGAAAATTCCAGACATTCCTAAGAAAAATGTCTCGTTTGTGCGTAAAAACAAGCAACGCATTAAATCACTACCACATTTACAGCTGAGCCTGCACCAGCAGGCTGCGCACATGTGGAGAACTTGTGATAAAACAGAACGCATTTAATGAATAAAAGCAAAAAATCACGCATGCATGTTGGAATATCAGAGAGGCAGCCGTGACCCGGTCACATCCGCTTCAAATCTTCCACTCGCAAAATGACCTGTAACTCTAGCAGCAGGAGTCAAAGCCAGCAGCGTCAAACGCTTGTGAATCCAGAGCGCCGAACGCGGGGTTCAGGAAAAACAGACCGGCAGTCTGGAACTAAATACTGCTGCGGTCGCTTGGTTGCAAATAAAACCATATTTAACAACATCGCAAAGCACATATGACTAAGACAGGCCGCCTGCGCTCGGGCCAGAGCAGAAATCAATTTAGGGCTCGACCACGGCGGCTCTTCTGGTAAATCCTGCAGATTAAGGCGGCCCGGCCTCTTGCTCTCCTTTTCTGCTTTTGTGGTGCTCGCAGGTTGTGAAAGTTATTTTTTTGATTTGGTCGAGTTAACGCCGAGAGAAAAATGTACACGTGTTTGAACAGGCACGGAAGAAGGAAAGTTTTCAAATTTAGAAAAAAAAAAACAAAAGATGCCTCAGTGACAGATAAAGACGTAAGAGACAGCCTTACAGCTTGTGTCATAAACTAGTTTTTCTAACTTGTTTATACTAGCTGTCTCATTTAGAGCCAAGACCTCACTAACCAGACAGACCAGTTTTGATAACAAAACAAATGACTAAGAAATTTGACTCAATAAGATAAGCTAATGAAATAGAAGCTTAAAACAAGAGCAAGTTTCAGAAGATTTCTCTTTTTGTCTTGAAGTTTGAATCGTCCCAAAGGAATCAAAGTGGGTGTTGACCGCGTAGATTAAGAAAATGCCTTTTTTATTTTTATATTTATAAAATCTTGTGGAGAAACCAAATTTCCTCCAGGTATTCAGAAAAAATTTAAAATGTTGACACCAAAAAACGAACGGTGAAAACATGTGAATGCTACACATCTATTCAGACATGCACTAAAAAGAACAAGACATTTACACATTTCTTATGCTGAAGTTCATCTTCATACGTTTTGGTCACATTTTAAAGTTTCAGCTCTTCATAAATGCTTAATTGCTTTGGGTTAAAGCTGGGTTTAAATTTGTGTATGTAAAAGCTTTCAATGCAGAAATTATAAAAAAAAATAAAAATAAATGAAAAATTTGTAAATAAACTCTTTTGGAAATAAGGCGCAGAAGCCGTAGCCCCGACCTACATATGGATACATTTTAAAATAGAGTTGTGCTTTGTGTTATGACAGATGTTTTAATAGCTTAACAAAGATCCTACTTAAAACCAGCGATGCACTGATCTGATGTTAATATCTGTATCGGTCCCGAAATTGGAAAAAAAATTCTAGATGGGGTATCAGTGGCAATGTGCTCGATCCATAAGGGCAGATCTATTCAGTCTAGTTCTACACTTTGGCTTCCTGTTGTTTATTTCCACATGTTCTACAAAGGTAGTCAACCTATTGGTTTTGTCATTTTATAATTTATTTTCCATTGGCTGTTCTGGTGACTGAACAAACTAAAGTTGTTTTTACATATTTGATCAAACTTCTGAAGCTTTTGGTGTGTTTAAGTGTGCTGGAATGGTGCAGAGTTATCTGATAAATTTGTAATTTAGTACATTTATGTCTGTGTTTAAGAAAAAGAAACGTTATGATTAGTTCAGCTTTGGTTTTTGGTATCGGAATCAGCCGATACCAAATCTGTATCAGTATCAGAAGTGAAAAAAGAAGTGGATCGGTGCTTCCCTATTTAAAATTCCCCTTCATGTTCTTTTCCACACCCAGTTTTGAATTTGAAAAGCTCAACAGTAGAGAGAAGAATCCCAAGCCGCCAGCCCAAAAGTCCAAAAGGCGGCAGCAGCAGGTAGTTCAGCAAGCAGAGCCCACCACCAATCCGTACACAAAAATCACTTACGGATGGAGCAGCCGCCGCCATTTTTGTGGTGAATTCAGCAGGCCGAGGCATGCCCTGGGCCACCTAAGCCAAGTCATGACTGTCGAAATTAATCCAGGTTGCTTATGTCAATGGTTGCTTTCCACACTGTTGCTGCCGAGCGATCCTGCCTGTCGGATAACGCACAGGGTGGAGTATTACAAGTCAAACAGAGTCTGCAATGGTGCAACTGTGATTAAAAAGAGGCAACGCATCTCTCCTTCAAGTTCCACATACGTCCCCGCCCACGAGTCACCCGGATGGGGTGACTGAACACATGCTAGGAGAAAAAAACACACACAAAAGAAAAAATGTTGGCCTTCTGGAATAACTCACCAAGCAAGCTGAAATGTTATAATGTAACACTTTTGCTTTTTTCTCCCCAATTGGTGTTTAAACACACCAATGTTTCAAAAAGCACAAACAACCCTCTGGTACCACAAACAACCCTCTGGTACGCAGAGCCACAAACACTGAAGAGGGACAATTCTCCCTGTTCACAGTGAACATGAGAACCTGCAAACACTGAACGTTTTACCAATTTTTTTTAAAAGAAATTCATTCACCACAAATGTTGCAAAAAAAACAAAAAACAAAACAAAACATGGAGATGATTAATTAAAAGTTTTGTAGGAAATCTGCAGGAACTGCAGCAAAGAGTGGAGCACAGTTGAAAATAAGCTAATTGTTTTTCAAAGTTAAGTTAAGTTAGTAGTTTTTGCTTTGGTTCATTTTTAGGTGAAGAATTAAAAAAGGCTAATAAATATATTCATAAACACAAAGACAAAACACGTTATAGCTATGACTTCAGAATGTTTTAGTGAGTTTTATAAACATGCATTATAGTTCCAGTTAATTTAAGTTTTCATTATTTTGTTAGTTTCAGGTTAATTATAATAACCTTGCAAAAAGGCACCTTTTTTTTTTTTTTTTTTTTAGTTTATTTGGTCTATTAAATCTTTGAGTCTATTCCCAGCAAAAAACAAAAAACAAAAAAAAAACGGAAATTTTCCTCAAAAAAGTTTCTATTAAAGTTTAACAAAGTAACTTGTCCCTGGATGTTTATAGTTCTGTTTCTATGAAATTAAATTAAGAAGAAAAACACTTTAAGTCAAAGAAGAATCAGATTTGTCATTGAAATTGACATGATAAAATAAATGACAAAAGTGTCCACCAGGGGCCAAATTTGTACTATTTCTAAACTGCATTGGTTAAGTGGTGGGCGGCACACAAATTTGCTCAAAGGGCCAAAACGTTTCCAGGGAAACACTTTGGACACCCTGAATTAACAGATGATCATGAAATGACGGCACATCCATCCAAAATGGACAAATATATTCTGCAGGTGTAAAATGTGATTGGTTGCCCATGTAAGTGTGAGATAAATTGATTAATAGCAGTAGGAATGATGTCTGATAAAACATTTGATATTATATAGAATATGGATCGAACTCTGATCCAGAACCGCACAGCATTCTGGGAGATGGAGGAGGAGGAAAGACTTTAGCCGCTCAACCTCTCATCCTATGGCGAGCTAACTTGCCGGTAGCATCAAATCGCTCGCTCTTTGGTTACCTAGCAACAACCTGTTGAGAAACTTGTGCAGCAGCAGTTTCAAGTTTTGCCGTAACCGCTTAAAAATATATAAAATAAAAAACAACGGTGTGGAGACAAAACTATAAAACAGGGAAGGTTTGTTGGTATTTCAGACATTTGAAACAAAAAACTAAAATCAATAATTATCGCGATGGGCTGATACGAAACGCTTGTATCGTGATACATTTCTCATATTGTCTAGCCCTACGGCAAATATTAGCAAATCTACTTTTTTAACTGTATACATTTTTATTTCTGTTTTAATGATCAGCCATTTCTTTAACAAATCATCTGCCACAGTTTTATATCTTTGGAAGGGAAAACTCTGCTCATTCCATGCGAGTGTATATGCAAATAGTTTTAGAAAAAACAATAACAACCCCATGTAAAAACCTCTAAGTTATTATTTTTTGCATGCAGATTCACACACACCCTTCAGTTCTAGAAAAGCTTTGCTTTGTCCAGGCTTCAAAGCTCCTTTCTGATTATACAGTAGCACACCGACCCCTCTGACCAGTCTGCTGATCTCACCTAACAAGCCCCCAGGGGGAATCGAAACGCGAAAACAAGACACCTTGCAGCTGCTGGAGAGAGAGGCTTCCTGCTAGAAAATCACTCATCTGTAAAACTTTCAGCTGCAAGTGGTCACTGTAGTGAAACTCGTAGATTTAGCTTAGTCAGACTCTCAGAATGAAACTCAGGAAGAGAGACAGATATCCATAGTGATAAAAAAAAAAAAAAAAGTTTTACTAGCCTGATCCACCTGCTGCTACATGAATTAATGATCTTTTTATACATCGCTCACATGAGCCACTTTCCAGCTGCTCATATGACTTTTATGTGGCTGGGCTCTCACCTGACAAACGCATATGTTTTCCTGTTAATATTCTGAAGAGGTCAAAGTTCAAATGAGCCTGCTGGAGCACCTGCAGATGATGACATTATGCAAACTGTCATTGGTAAAAACAAAATCTGCCTCAGGTAAAAACACAGGACTCAGCGTTTACAGACGCATGCTTCTACAAGGTAAATATATACTGATACTCTCTCATGGCGCTGCGGTTAAACGATGCAGGACGAATGACAGAAGTCTTTGATCATGAACTGTCAAAAATAACAACTAACTCTTATGTCGGTCTTTGAAGCTGCTCACTCATACAGTAAATGGATTCTGAAAAAAACATCTGGGTTATTTCTTTAGCGCAAATGCAACTCAGTTTTACCCAAGCGTCCTACACATTTACCAGGTAAAAATTACAGACTTTTCCAGAATTAGCTTACCTGTCACTCCACTACGTTCAAATGAAATTATAGAGATCACTTTAAATTCAACACACATAGTGGTACAGTGGTTTGCCTGGAAAACCACTGTACCACTGGGAGGAAGGAGCAACGAAAAAAAGCGAGAAAAAGAAATGAAAATGGGATTGGAAATCAAGTTGAAATTCACAGTTATTCCCCAAACTCTTATTTTCTTTACTTATCCAGACCTGAAAAATACCAGAATCAAATTCAGAACATGTGTGAAATAAAGAAAAATCTACTGAAAGATCTGGTGAGCTCCTGTTCACCTCAGTAGTTTCAAAGGTTTTGCCGGTTTTCCTTTTTTTTTTCCTTCTTCCGAGAAGTCAACACCTTGTTGAACCTCAAAGCCGGGCTCTCTTTGGCAGCAAAAGCGGGAAATCCATCTCAACTTAGAAGTTCACGGACCACAAAGCAAGCTTCGGAAGATTCCTTAAGCAAATGCACAGTTTCACATGTGTGCGTTTGTGAAACTGTGTTTGTGTAATAATAATTTTAAAAAAAGGACACACGTCTTTGAGAGTAGAGGTCTGGAGTTGAAGTATGAATGTGTGAAACCTATGAGCCTCAAGGCAGCATGCACAGTTTGTTGGCTTAGTATGAATGTGTGTATATGTGTGTGTGCGCTCCTAAGTGATGGTACTTGAACTGAGGTGGGAGGATGGGGAAAGCCAGAGGAGTGCCTCCATGTCTCTAACCTCATCTATAATTCAGTGCCGGGGCCATCCACCAGGCCTTTCCAGCTTTCCTCACAACAGCAGCTGGAGAGAAATGCTCAAGTGTTCTGCGTTACGTCTCACCATCTCAACATTGATCTATTTTTATACACTAATGCCTCTCTCAAGGGTCATCGTACATGGGTAGAGGCATTGTATTCTTTTCCAGAATGAGCCGTGTTGAAAATGGAGAAAGGCCACAAAAAAAAAAAAAAATGAAAGGAAATATCAGGCAATCTTAAGGGCGACCTGAAGCGAGGTGCACTTTAAATTTCCAAAAACCAAGTGTTAAAGAGGCAAGTGAAAACAGAACTGCAGCCACCAATAGAAAAGCACCAGGTGAACTTTTGCTCAGTTCACCCATGTTCCTCAAACAATCTAAATACAATTTTTTGATATATGGTTGGAACAATATATTCTCCACAGTTCTTAGGGACTAAATGTTCACAACACGCTGTGGGAATGTGTTGACAGCAGTGAAAGGCAGAAAAATCCCTGCGAAATCTTATAAAAGGAGCAAATAAGGCAAAAAGAATAAAATGAGGCCAAGGACAGAACCCAGCGGAACACCAATAGAAATCTTATTTAATAAGAAGCAGCTCACTAAAATTTCAGTAGATGGTCCCATCCAACATTTTAAAGTCAAAGATAAATGATCAACGGTGCTAAATGTTTAACTCAAAGCTACTTAGACTGGAGTTCCATGAAAACCAGACGGAAATGTGTTCAAGATGTCTCCTTCTGTGACATTCATTAGCTCAGTTCAGCTTATTTATATACTGCCAATTCACAACAAATGTCATTACGAAAAAATAATTTTGGTTCAATCACAAATGCATTCCAACTGATCCTAGTTACCAAACTATTGTGCTCAATAGTTAACCAAAAAAGTTTCTAGGAAACCACAGCCAGCAGACCGCTTTAAAAACAAGAACGCCCAACTAGAGCTCCATTCACAGACATATTCTACAGCCCAGTGGCAAAGCTATCGCTCCAACAGTTTTATCAGCTTCCTAAAGAAAACTGCATCCACAATCATCTGTTTTGACAGGCAGCTGACCTTGTCCCAACTTTGTTTGGTGGGAAAAATGCAGCCAAGCTGATTTAGCTGCAACAGCTCAAATGGTAAAACGATGACTAGGCCCTTTCATTTTAACGAGATATATGCTTCACATGCTCAGATTAATCTGAACTGAAACCATTTGAGGGACCTAAACGTCTGATTTGTGTTTGTGATGATCTCAGCCAGCTGCTCCCAATCAATCCACAGCCAGTAAAGATGGTAAGTTTATCATGATTTGTGAAGTCAAGCCATTTCACAACAGTTTCATTTAATTTAGGAACTTTAGCAGCCATGCACAGTTGATGGTTGCATTTAAAACTATTATGCGTAGTTTCCTGCTACACTTATCATGCCGTCTCTCTGTGAGTTACCTGGGCTGGGCGTCGGCTGCTTCCTGCTTCAGCAAAAGGTGTGGACAATGTCTGAGGAAACTAAAATCACAAAGACTGGTCCTCAGGGTAAACCACCAGCTTGGCATTTATTCGGGTTCAGATTGTTTATCTCAGGTTTAGCTAGTATTAATGTCCGGCTGTGTCTTTCCCTGTTATGGGTAAATAGTTTGGCCACTAGATGTTAAGATGGCCTTAGGTCATTTTTGTGAGTTTAAAGGGAAAATTTTAAAACATTAAAAGTGATCTTTCACGAGGAGCTACAAAAACATAGCTGCCTATTGCTGTGAACAGAAATGGGATTGGAGACCAGGCTGTAAGAAACAGCTCCAGTTGGAAGAAAGAGGAAAGATTTCTTCAGTCTATCTGCTGTTTTTACTCCAGGGTAATGAAAAAGTTGGATTCCTTAATCCAAGAATGGGAACACAGCACAGGTAAACACTGGTGTCTGTTGCAATAATGTTTCTAAGTCAAAAATGTACAAGGTGGTTTTAATTCTTCAAATGCTCTCCCATCTGTCCGTCCATTTTCTTCCGCTTATCTGGGGTCGGGTAGCAGGGGCAGCAGCTTCAGAAGGGAGGCCCAGACTTCCCTCTCCCCAGCCACTTCTTCCAGCTCCTCTGGGGAACCCCAAGGCGTTCCCAGGCCAGCCGAGAGACATAGTCCCTCCAGCGTGTCCTGGGTCTTCCTCGGGGCCTCCTCCCGGTGGGACGTGTCCGGAACACCTCACCAGGGAGGCGTCCAGGAGGCATCCTGACCAGATGCCCGAGCCTCAACTGGCTCCTCTCGACGTGGAGGAGCAGCGGCTCTCCCGGATGACCGAGCTTCTCACCCCATCTCTAAGGGAGAGCCCAGCCACCCTGCGGAGGAAACCCATTTCGGCCGCTTGTATCCGGGATCTCGTTCTTTCCGTCATGACCCAAAGCTCATGACCATAGATGAGGGTAGGAACGTAGATTGACCAGTAAATCGAGAGCTTCCTTTTTGACTCGGCTCTCTCTTCACCACGACAGATCGGTACAGCGCCTGCTTCACAGCAGACGCTGCCCCAATCCGCCTGTCGATCTCCCACTCCCTTCTTCCCTCATTTGTGAACAAGATCCCCAGATACTTAAACTCCTCCACTTGAGGCAGGACGACCCCCCTGACCTGGAGAAATGCTCTCCCATGAATGCAAAATGTCTGCCCACATCGAACTGAGTGGAATTAAATGAAAGACAGACATTTTTATTTCCCCCACTTTTGAGCCAAATTAATTGTATCAGTCAGATTTCTATACACTGCGTTATCACTTTTGTCCTTAAGTTTTCCTTAATTATTGAACTTTTCAGGTAAACAAAGAAAGATAAAAAAAATCAACTTTTCCAGTGTCGCCTTCAGGCCCCTAACAATGTTCATAAGTCTTAAATCTAGACAGTAAGTCCCCCTCTGGGCCTGCGGAGACGAAACTGAATTCTACCTTTTTCCTCAAGTCGAATCAGCCATTTTAACTTTTCTTTTGTTCACTTCCTTGCCTCCTTTCATTTCAGCTTACTGTCACTGGTTCTCAGCTGCATCGCTGACACCAGAGGTTCCCACAGGCAGTCAAGGCATATTCACATCCCAATCTTCCCCTCAGCTGAACTGAATCTTTTCCTTTGCTCTGTCTGTGCAGCGCCTGGTTCCTGTGGAGAGGGTGGCTCTCGCTGAATTGACCCCTCCTCCCCCCCGCCACTCCCCCTCTAATTACATTTCCTCCACTTACTGAAGGTCACTGCAGAGATTTTAATGCTGATAGATGCTTTTCAAAAATCTGTCAGGCCATGATTTATTACAGAGCCTGCTATTTTTAGAAGCAACCAAATGATGTCAAAGGCTGCTGGAGTCTGCAGTTGGAGTTTATTTTTTTTATTGGGTTTTCATGTAATTCCATCATTTTTGCGTGATTGCTTGATTTTTCAACAGACAATCCTGCACAAGCGGATAAGGAAACGGACTTGCATACAAAGAAAATCTTAAAAAACACACACAATGAAACAGTTTGAGAATACTTTTTTTTTTTCAGTTTTGTAGGATTACACTGAGGAATCCTGTTATTTGGTTACCATAATTGATGCTGAGAGTTTAAAATCTTTAATGCGACACAAGAGGCAAATTATTAAAGATTTGAACCAATTTGTCTATCAAACACATTTATTTCAGTTTTTTTTTAATTCGTTTTTGTTTATGGGTTAAAAACCCCCATTAAAATGTAATTCTGTTAACAGCTGCATAAATTCAGTCAAATTCAATTAAGAAGTTCCCTTTCTGATGCTAAAGAGAAATTAAATGTTGCTGTAACTCATATAAAAGTGATAAGTCTCTTTCCCTCAAATGTTTACACTCGCTGAAAAAGATGGCTAATTAAAAATGACAATTTATGAGTGTTGAAGCATCAAAACTTGAAGTTCGTTTTCTATAACTGAATGTTTTAGTGAAGCTCTGCTTACAAAGCGCTTCTTTCTTTATTGTGATTTCCCCCCTTTTTTTGTCTCACCCACTCACTGCCTTCTCCATGAGAAACTGAATCAGTTAGAGGTACTGCAGGCATGATTTGACTGTGCAGTGAACCGAAAAAAAAAAGAAAAAAAAAGAAAACTGTGGTAATGTCTGAACTTTACTCCCCATACATGTACTTATTTTTAATTTTGCATAAAATCCAAAATCGTTTTATTTTTTTCTTTCATCTTTTCTAAAGACTGCTAAATTAAAAATTGTTTTGGACAAAACAAACTGCGCAGACAGATTTTAAGCTCTACCTATTCTGGATATCCAGCTGTTTACTGTGTATATGGGGGCAGAAACGACACCAGATTCACTGCTAAAACACACATCAATCTAGAGAAATGCCCACCTCTATTGCATCCTCTCAAACCGACAGATAACAATCACAAAATAACACTCCATCAAAACTGCTGACACATCACTGCTTGTTTTTTTAATTTCAGCTGCATGTAAGAGTGTACAACCAGGCCAGGGATTAACTAAAGTAGGTCAGCTGGTATTAAAAACACAAAGCAGGCTCCTCTTGTCTCTCCTGCTATCAATGTTATTATCTTGGATACAGGAAGATTGAAGCCATTAGAAATATTCCATTTTGGCCTTATGGTCTTTTGCGGTCGCCGTGGTAATTGCTGAATCAGGCCTGATGCAGCGGGAGAACGGCGCCGTTGTGTCCGTTACTGTCCTGTTTTGTGGCCCCGGTGATAAGTGGCTCAAGCTGGTTCAAGACGCAGCAATTCGTTTGGTCACGAACTGATGAGTAAACATCCAGTTCTCGCCAGCGGCTCTCCCCCGCACCGATAAGCATTTCAGGCGAGGAGAGGAGGAAGTTCTGCAGGAGCGGCTAAGCGGCAAATGAGTCCTCCACCAAAGAACGGCGGCACGCTTCAGTCAGAAGAGTTGCACTTGAACGCAACTCTTCAGCCAGGACAGCGGTTTGTAATTATAGATGAACAGAGGAGGCTAATGAAGAAACAAAGCACCGAAGGGCGAGATGGTTCAGTAAACGGACAAAGCCAGAGCCACAAGGGTCAAATTGGAGAGAAAGTAGAGATGCACCGATCCGATATTAATATCTGTATCGGTCCTGATATTGTAATAAATTCTTCATCAGGTATCGTTGACAACGTACCCAATCCATAAGGGCAGATTTACTCAGTCTAGTTCTATGCTTTGCACTCTATTAGATGTTTAGTCCTTAAAATGTTACATTTGCTTTTGTTTCATTTCATTCATTTATGACTAATATGGAACAAACTTCCAGAAAACAACAAAAATGCCGAAACACTGAGGGTTTGTTTTTAAACCCATTTGATTTAAAAAGCCATTTGTTTAGAGTTGCCTTTCACTCATAATACCAACTGATATTCATTTTAGTCTTTAGTTCAACTTCTCTCTACTTTTATTTGCGACATCAATCCGCTGTGCTCTTTTATGTTTTCATAAGTTAAAGTACTTTGAATTGTTTTGGTGGAGAAATATATTCTACGAGTAAACTTACCCCGCATCGCCATTAAGACTATCGTGTTCTTTATTTTTTTTTCCAAGGTTAAAGTAAAACTCGGCTTCATTCCGCCATCCGACAAAGTTCTCCAACTGCTGCCATGTGCTTGCAATGAACGTAGCAAGTGAGTATCTTCTCTGTGACGTGTTGAACTTCCTGAAATAACGTCCTGTTTCGGCAGCCTTGAAGTACCACCAATAATCCACAGTAATGCAGTTTCCTGTGTAGAAGGATCCTTTGTGCTTCATCTAATTTTCATACAAAACTCCCTGTTGATGAAAATAAAACTACCGAAAGTTTTGTCTTTGTCTCCATGGCAACAACTTCCACGCTGAAGAGTATTAACGAGGCGCTTCACTGAGCACAAAAAGATCAAATTTTCAGTTTCTTATCATCCCATCAAGCAAAAAAGGAAACAAACAAACAAAAAAAAAACAATCCAGTTATAAGTCTGTTTCTGCATAATTTACATTAATTCAGTTAACTGGGTTTTTTTGTGGTAGGGTTCCTTTGCTAGGCTTTTTCAGTTTCACTTGTTCAAATTAACTTTAGTCATATTGCAACATGAAAAATGACTAAAGTTAAAAATAACTAAAGTTAATTTGAACTGAACCGACCTGAAGAAAAGGCCATTAGTGGCCATTTGTGCATATAAAACAATAACTTTGACAAAAATCTTCCATTTAAATTTTTATTTAAATGTTTAAGTAGCTTGCATATTGGCAGTTAATTGCATCATTCTGCTTACATGCTACGTATTGCCAGTTCAATAAGTGGGGCCTATTTTACTTCTCTTTAAACCAGAGGAAAGTTTCTCCATTAAAATAGAAAATTCACTCCATATCTCTGAAGCCGTCTCTCCTTTGCTTGCAACCTTTCTGCTTCGTGCTGACTGAATGTTTTCGGTGCTTGCAGAACTCATAACTGGAACACGAGCTGCTCTATGAAAACAAACCCAGAAAGGGGGCGACGGAGCTAAAATTAAAAAAGTAAACCTTAAAAAGTTACTGGTAATACCTGGCAGCTCCTGAATTAACATTCCTCACGAAGCAGCAAAATCTGCCACCAAATCCCAGACAGGATGTGGTGCTGAGTTTTCAAAGATCAACTGAGATTTGCCAACACTGGTCAGTAACTTTAAACCTATTGCAATTTGTTATACGTTGGTTTAATTTAAAATGGACTTTAAATCAAAATATACTAATTCTAGAGGTACCCAAGAGGAAAAAAAAACAACAAAGATGAGAAATAATTATGAACATTAGTCTGACATTTTCATTTAGGCATTTGTTGCAATGTAATGTAGAAAAACAGTTATTCTGCCTTGGGCCACAAAAAAGTAGCAACCTTTTATTTCCAGAACAAAGTCTTGAGGTGAGGTAAGCGCTAAGAGGCATTAGGAAAAACCCAACTAAGTTAATTGAGTTCCACTTGTGTGATTACAAATTTAATCTGAGTTAAACAACTCTAAAGGGATTCTAGCAGCTGGAATATTAGCCTGCTGGCTCTAATCTCCCCCATAAAAACGAATGTAAACAGAGCGGAGGACACAGAGGGGAAGGAGGAGGAGTGAGGGAAGCATGGCAACAAAGGGACATTTTGTTTTAAATGAAGTAAGAAAAGAAGATGCTGACAAGGATATGTAAAACTTTTATGACTTCTCTCAGAAAGTTCCCATTAGCAATCAACCCTTTGATTGCCGGTCAGCAATCTCACACTCCCATTCTATCTCGCACCTCCAGCTATTTAAACATGGATTAAAATCAGTTTAAGCACTCTATGTTGGACAAGGTTCTTCGTTTACATGAGACAATTTTCCCTTTACTTCAGGCTTGAAAATAGAGAAAAAAACCCAGAAAAGTCATTGGCTGAACATCTGTCGTTCTATATTTCTGAACTGGCTCTACCGGAATCATTGTGTATAACACTACGTTTACACAAGACCTCTGTCTGGAAACTGCCGGTAATTTCAGATGTTGACTGGAGAGGAGCTCCACTTATAGACGGCGCCGCCAAGACACCTGAAATTTGCTGTAGTTGTCATGCCAGGGCACTAGATGGTGCTGTCATTTTAGCATGTAGTCGAAACGAGCTCATGCTTTTGACCATTCGCTTCCACCTCGTTTAGAAAACAGTAACCCGTCTCTGATGAACCAACAAAACACTTTTCAGAGGGAGTTTCAAAAAGTGCCAAACACATGTAAATACGTTGCTGGACCGCAACAAAAATGCTACGGTTTCACTAGGCGTCCAACTCAGGCGTTGGAGCGACAAGCCCCTTATAAGAGGGACCGGATACGTGTGTGGTTCTATTTCCTGTCATTATCTTCATCATTTTTGCCAGTAGGTCACGACTCGTGATGCGAAAAAGTGTTTCCATTGCAGTTTTGCAAAATACATTATTTCAATACGACCAACAAGCGCAACAACTTTATATCTAAAAAAAAGTTTAGTTTTTTTATTGGAGTGTTTTTGTTAAGTAAATTCATTTGCATAATTTCAATTTGGTCAATTTTACGGTTAATGGAAAGAGTTACTGAAACTTGTCTCCATGTAAACGAGTCCAAAGAGTGCACTTGTTGAATTTACAGCTTTACTGCTATTAATCAGACTTAAACACAAATCAGTACAAGTAGCACTGGTGTGGCGTAAAGTCACCATACGGACCAGTAACCACTTTTCTATGGCAGATATTCTTCTTGCCGAGAGCGCCTCATTGTCGCAACATGCCATGAGTGTTTGGGAAATTTGCCTCCAATGAAATTTTTATTGCTTAGTAACATGTTATTATTTGCAATAGGGAGTGGGTACCGCCCTCCCTGTTGCTTGTTGTGTGAATTACAAACCCTATCATAACATATGAACGTTTACCATGGCAACCAACGATCCTCATGGTAGTGTCTGATTTAAAATTCAGCCCTTCAGTTTTGTAAAGGAAACTGAACTCAGCATTTATTCATCAATTAGAAATTCCTGAGAAACAGTGAAAACTTAAGGCTACTATGACGAGTACAAAGCAGTTGAGGATATAGTATTTTTATAGTAAAGATAAATTTGGTTCTTGGACTATAATCGGGTTGGAAAGATGACTATTTTCAGGTTACCATGATGTAAAACATCTTGTTTTCCTGAGCAGCCGGCGTGAACGCTATACACTACACCACCACAGCTGAAAACATTCAACTATTTGATTATCTCCCCGGCGTTTGATAATATTTTTCTAAACTCAGTTGGAATTCAGGAAACATTTTCACGCCTGTGGCTCATTCTTTGATCGTTCTATCCTTTTTTCCTCTCCTTTCACTGGTCGCCAGCTACCTGTAATTAAGCGGCTGATTTCTATGAAAACTTTTGAGCGGCCAAACGCAGCTCTGAAAGCCTCCATGAAAGGATCACAAAGGTTCCCACTTCAAAAGTGGACAAGTGTTAATTAACGGCCATCTGCGGGCTTTGGATTTCCTTTTTTTTTTCTTTTTTCTTGTGACTCCGCTGTTATAATTATGATTAAATTACTTTAAAATGTGTTTTTCTTTTAGGATTCTACTGAGTTGTCAGCTAACAAATGACGAGCTGAGGTGAACATGTTCAGCTGTTGGTCAGAAATCATGCTGGGCAAGTTTTCTTTTACATTTTTTTTGACACGAACCAGTTATATACCTCACCTCACATGACCCCCAGAGAACACATTCCATCCTACACTACACACACACACACACACACACACAGACTTACCAAAGACCTCCTCTGTTTCCTGCTCTGTGTGTGTTACTCCCAGCTTTGCTCCCAAACGGAGAGCAACTTTCCAGGCACAGTGACAGATTGATCTGCCATCGCTGCTGCTCGTGTGAGGGCGACAGTGTCCGATGAAGAGTGGCAGACTGCTGAGAGCGGGTAGTGTTACACGTTTGTAACAACTCCAATTGCCAAAGGCAAAAACAAGGTTCCCTTTTCGCATCGGTGGGCTAACTTACCTGAGATAAGAACAGGTCAGGACGTTAGACAACACTATGGGTTTGTGAGAAAGATGTCCAAGTGGAGAAAAAAAACACAAAAAAAAAACTCTCATGGGTACCTTCCAAGTTGCACGTGAGTACATGTCTGAGAAACTTTGTAAAATGTTTGTTACTTGAGATCATGCCGCAACACAAAGCTTACTTTCACCACACCCTCTCGTGTACAGACTTGACCTGCCATTCAATTTAGCTAATTTTAAACACAAAGAGGAGGGAGGGGAAATGTCTGCAGCCATATGATAAATAAAGATGTAATTTCAACCTCATTACATTGTTGTCCACGGTGAAGCAAAATCCCGTTTTGACCTCCGAGACTCTTGTAAGAACAATAATCGAGATCCTGACAAGAAAGCAGCCTTCATTCACACTGTCACTTTGTGACCAGAAAGTGTGCAAACAGCTTCAGCAAAAATTCAACTTCCGCTTTCTTTACTCAAGTGTTGCTACAAAATATTAAAAAATGTTCCTGCATGTTACTGCAGAGATATGATAATACAGGAACTAAAAAAAGAAAAAATAAAGCACAGTGTAGTATACAATTTCACAAAAACTACGCTCTCTCTTTAATTCTCTGAAGCATCTTTCCCAGTTTTGAATGTGAATTAGTGTAAGCTGACACCCCTACAGGCTGTCTTATTTAAAAGACTTCTTTGTCCTGTAGCAGCCCACAAGATCACTTTACTTCCAGGTTTACGAGTCATTCCCCAAATTAAAAATTCAGCGAATGTCGAGCAAAATGCCATCATAACGGGAGATTACCTGTTTCTGGGAAGCAGCTCTCCCTTTGGGTGTGGCACACAGACACCATCTCTGTGTCTGAAACTAAGATCAAAACTTACTCCATCAAAGAGGAGTAGTTCAATCTAACTGTTTACTAATCGCTTAAATATGCTCGTCTTCTGAAATTTACAGTTTTCCTGCTTTTGATGTAAATTTTTCAGTCATCACACACTGACATTATTAATATTCTTAACCTTTTTGTTTTCCCATTTCTGATGTTTAAATCCTGTTGCAACTGTACTTTAATGCCTAGATTTTCTTTTAAAGGAGTGTGGTTAAATTCTAAGCTTTTGTCAGCAGATAGCCAGGACCAAATAGTGCTCTGCAGTGCCATCAAGCAGCTTTTATGGGTTTGTCACAGATGTTGCTGATGGTAACGGGCTCCTTAAAACTGATGAGGACAAAGGTTGTGAGTGGTGGAACAAAAAGGTAAAAATAGATGTGTGTTGATTTAAGACAGGTTGAAAAAAACAAAACAAAGCATGAAATAATTTCAACTTTACAAATATTGTGTTTATAATTCTTTTTAAAAATGACACAAAGCTGTTAAACTTACATTAAGGACCTGTAAGTGAGCTAACTTACTAACATTGAAGCTTAGGACCTTTGAAAAGCAGAGAGGAGCAGGTGTTGTCACTAAGCCTGTCAAGATAATCAATAAAGCAATTAATTGCATCATAAATGAAAATGAGCACAATAATTTCCGTTTGGACGACGGTTCTTAAAGGGACGGCCCCTTCGATCTTGTAGAAAAGCCGGCACTTTGAGAGACGCTGCAAACGTTTGCAGCACATACTTGTTAGCTTGCACTACCTGCCGCTTTGGCCTGTTTTCCCTGTCGAAGCTGAACGACTATTATTATTATTTGAAACGCTATTTTGGTCACCGAGACTTCATAATCCATTTTGGTTACTGTTCCAGATGTTTTGTTTTTATTTTTCCAGCTCCAGTGTTAATTGTTCTGAAGATGTTATTTTTGGTCTTTGAGACGATGCGCTTGCATTAATATGTTGCTATTATTGTTATATCTATTGAAAATGGACACAAAATGACAATATTATTATCTTTTGCGATAATTTCTGGGACAATTTAACGTTGAGTGAAAATTATTATCCTCAAAGGCCTAGTTGTTCCATTTCCATATTTTCTTTCTTTCTTGCTTTCATTCTTAGTTTTTAGTTTTGTCAATAATTTTTTTGTAGGTCCCTAATTAGTCAAAGGCAGCATAAAGTCAGTAGCCATTGACTTTTTTCCTAGATTGAAGCTTTGCACTGAGCTCATGTTTCCTTGCTGGTGGAAACACGAACATTTAGCAAGCTCAGGAAGTCGACTGAAATCTGTCTCTGTGCTCATGTCGGCCAATCTGTCTTTGTTTACAGTACAAACCGGAAACGTCACAGAGGAAGAGGAAAAACAAAACTGAAAGGAAAAGAAAAAAAAGCAGCATGCTAGCATATCCAGAGAACCTGAGAGTCTAAACAACCCAGGGCCATTTCCTGGCCGCCTCTCCACTCCAATGTTTATGCTAAGTTTCACAGAGGCGAACTAACAAACCTGCCAACATTTTTAACCTTCCCCTGTCATTTATTCCCAATTCCCATCTCTCCTGATATCATCTCCCTCAAATTTTTCTCTTCATTTCTTTAACAAAGTTTGAAAAACACAACATAAAAAATCCCTCACACAATATTTTGATGTCGCAAAGGACAAAAGATGGATATTAATTATTAACAAACCAGAAAAAGTATAAGAATACGTTTAAAATAAAAAGAAACCAAAACATAAACCTCGTGTCCTGCTTTAATCCAGACCGGATTGCTGGTGTTTACACTCATTTGCAGTTTTTGCCTCTGAGCTCCACCGTAGACTACAGGAAAACACAGCAGTGGTCAGACTGTTCCAGATCAATGGTGAAGGAGAGGGGATAACCAAATTGTTTCCTAGTCTGCGTTTGAATACAAAAGCTATCAAACGAACCGCAACAAAAGCTGAAAGTGTCTCGCTGTGTTTTGCATCAGATAGGAAAATAAAACAGAGTCACTGGCGTGTGTGAGACACTGGGAAAGTTTACTTCAGAACTGGCAAACACTTAGACAACGAGCCATGTCAGGGAAATCAGACAAAACCAACAGGCACTTTAAATATAGACGGAATGTGGATGTGATTTGTTGCCAATTCTCATCCTATACAGGTATATCTCATTTAACCAAAATGGTCATCTATTTCAGCAAAACTTAAGTGAAACACATTTAAATTGGATTAGGCACTCTCACAGTCATGTATGTCAAGCTTTTTACGTTTGTTTTCCGGTGACAATAAATGTGAAACATTTCTCAGCAGTCTCACATGAGCTGAATTCACTCTTGATAACAATCTTGGTCAGAGCTCTCTGGAGGTCCAGCAGATTTGTAGGAATTACGTGGAAAAAGCGCGAGTTTAACTGAATGCAGTAAGTAAGCTATGCTAATGTACAGAAACAACCCAGAACCACCACAGGCAAAAGATGCTGACACAGAAGCAACACAGTATGAAAATGCCTTTATCATTTTAGTAGTTGGATCAGCACTCGGGAAAAGGAGTTGAAAGAACAGATTAAGTCAACCATAGAAGCCTAAAGATTTTAAGAAGTATTTTTTCAGGTTATTGTTTATTCATCCTCTGTGTTTTCAAGTGTTTTATGAAAAAACAAAGCTTAAGAAAATTTGCAATAACGTTACATTATGTCAAGCTAAGCTATGCAGACTCTTTGTCTGCACTGATAAAGATTAGTCAGAGCTACGCATTATATCAAATCGCAATCATCGATATCAGTGTGCACAATATGGCAAAGACAAAGCACTCTGTATGTTTTAGATAGGGGCATTATGCAATAGTGAAGAAACAGCCAGAAAAATTAAGCTGTGCAATTTTCAGCAATAGCATTCTGCATTTTCCTGGTATTGCACAAAACAAGCATTTTTGTATCTTACTCATAATTCTTGCAACGTCATCCTGCCATCTCCAGTGATAAACCACAAAGCATCCTTTGTTAGATCTTAGGCCGTTTTCACTTCTTGGTTTGATTGGTTTCAGCTGATGCAGTTTGTTTTCACGCTATACTTTGTCAAACCAACCAAATATAGAAAAACCCGTTCCCCCTCCTCGCCTGTGGTGGCACTGCACCAAGAACCACTGAAGGAAGCGGCACGAAAACCTCTAAAGGAGACACTGAACCCAACTTTCTTTTTCAGAACATGTAAACAAAAATGGAGAGGCGTTAGATTTTAGAGGATGTTGGCTTTCTCTTTTGCTAGCAAAGACGCTCGCGTTTGTTTTGGGTTGTATTTACCCAAGATGCCCTGCTCCTGCTTTTGGAGTGATCTCCAGGTCGCTTATATCCTCATATGCATTTGAATCGCACCAGAATTCACTTCAGCTGGACCAAGACCTAGGAATGTAGGCGGACCAGAGTTTGCTTTCACACCTTCCCAAACGAGCCGAACTTCCTAGGTGAACAAACTAAGGTTCCATTAAAGCCGGACTACTGCATTACATGAATATACATGTTCAATTTGTGCATGCAGACCTAATACAGTTTTTAGAAAGCATCCGATTCACTGCACTGTTTCGAGAAGTTGAACTGATGCCACAGTGACACGAAACCAGACTGACCGGGCATATGCGGAAGATTTTCTCCCCTCAAAACTGACACATTAGCAAATGAGCATTGCTCCCATCGGGCCACAGTGGCTGTCTCTGTGGGAATGTGTGAGGAGAGATAGTCTGCAGGCAGCTAATTATACAGCACAACCAGTAAGGATGTGGGCCGAGGTTACATCTGAGGCCTATCGCTGGAGATGCTCCTAAGCTTCTATATCTATCAATAAAGACTCTTTACAGCCGGGGTTTTTAATGTGCGGGGCAAGACCCCTGATGAGAGAAGTGGGGTTTGAGGGAAGAGGGTGTGTTGTTCTGACAAAATAATCTTATTTATTGCATGGAAGTATTGTCTACCCCGGCCTATTTTTCCAAATTACACAATCAACGAAGACCTCTGTGTTGCATCTGATGGCATGAAACTTATAAAATATTTGTAAACACTCTACCTAAAACAAGTCATAGAAATAAAAAGAAAAAGAAAAAAGAAATGATTAATTTTGTATACTATGACTAAAGTAAAACGTATTGTTTCAGTTTTGTCCAATAAGGAGGCCTAGAAAATGCTCTTCCTTTTAAGAACAACTGTTTTAAAACATTATCGCTTTTTTACACGTCCAGATACATCCCCGCATCAGATATTGTATTTATGGGGTAGTAGATCTAACAAAGCAGTAAAGTCTAAGTAAACCCATGCCAACGCTGCTAAATCTGTCCAATTATCAGACTTGGGTCATCTATAAACAGAAACTACAACACGCATACATCGGGTGACAATATTCCTCTTCTTCTTAGGTAGGCTGAAAGAGTTCGTCTATAATCACTGCTGTAGATTTACAGACCTAATGAACAGAGTGTGAGTGCTTTACAAACCTGATAGATTAAGTTTGCAACCTGAGTCAGGACTCCACAGTTCTTTCTCATTTTCTGTTCTTTGGATTGCTTACCACGTACATTTTTGGCATTCGGAGAATAAACTTCATTTCCTGGATCACTTCAGTTTCGATTTTTTTTCTCACGAAACGCAGGATAAAAAGCTCAGGCCTGCATCGTTGAAGATGGAATACCAAATACCTTTGACCTCGGACAGATCTTAGTGAGAAGAGCTAAACATGTGGCGGTAAAAAGCGGACTTTAGAGACGAGTCGATGGTGTGAATGGAGGTGGACGTTGACGGAGATGGAGTGCTGTTCAGTGTGGCGGTATGGGGTTACTCTTTGTTTAAGAAGTCTGAAAGAGCAACCCCGTTGCCATTGTTATCGCAGTTTGTCAATATGTCACTCAGTGACCCTGTTTTAATACACAGCGGAGAAACTTTTCAATTAAAGGGACACAAAAACTGTCAATAAAACCCTGAATCAGGAGACGTGGTCAAGCGACCAGTGCTGTTAAAGTGTTTATGCACAAATGCGTGGCTGTATGCTGGGTTTAAAAAAAAAAAAAAAAGATAATTCAGATTCACACAAAGCCTCCCTCTTCTTCACTGAAATGCTGCATTGTGCTCCTGAAACAGTGCGCTCTTTTTTCTAAATTCAGCTGTCATCAGAGAGTAAAAGAGCAAAGTATGGACATTCCAGTACATATGCAGGCACATTTACACGAGCAAAGAAAAATACAATGGCTCTCCGGTGTTTGCAGGGCTAGGGACCACAGAGGCCTGCAAGTAGCTGAACTTTGCAAATATTTGAGTACAAATGCTTCTAAATGCCTTTTATAACCCTTCCACAGTCTTAAGAGATGGGATCCATGTGGGCTTTTACAAGGTTTCTTTTTTGTGTCTGTGTGGTTTTGGGAATTGATGGTCTGAGGGTATATCATATTGTATGATTACTGAATCCTAGGGATACTCTGATATGAAAATTTGGCCCAATATCAATATCCGATATTAATATTGTTGTTATGGCCCCTAACAGACATTTACTCATATTATGCATATATAACTAACCTTTCGACACCATTAAGAACAACCTGCACTGCATGTGTAGTTGCGTTTCCATTTCAATTGTGTGCAAAACTTTGTTGATATTCCACTATTGTTGAAATAACACAAATTCGCAATTGTGGTGTTTCCATTAAATAAAAACACAATTGAAATCACACCTGAGTAATTAAGTTTGTCCATGACTAAAAGAACATGCCATACCATCATCCTCCAACTACCTCCTGTCGTCTTCTTCATCCTTCCAACATCCAGTTGTCGGTGTCGTGACTTATGTGTCGCAAAACTTTTTTTCCTTTGTAGTTTTGCAAAATACACTAATTTTGATGCAACCACCTCATCCAAACACAAAAACCCTTCTGAAGTACTTGAGTTTTTCAGCAATTGGTGTGTTTTCAACAAATTTATTTCCGTAATTCCGAATTTGCAAAATTTTACAGTAAATGGAAACACGGCTACTGTCACTGTCACACAACCAAACAAAGGCTAAACTAAAACTCTGAGCAGCCTCTCTGTCACCACAACACAACGACAAAGATCACTAATGACACACTGGCAGTAGTAGAAGGAGAGGCGCAGCAGGACAACTCCCAGACAGAGAAGAAGGCATAAATAGTAAAGGAGCTGATGGGGAGAGAAGTGGAGGCTGGGGGGGGGGGGTTGCCACAGATGTGTGTGTGTGAATTACAATAGGTGAGTGGACTACTGATTACAGGCACGACCTTGTGATCATAAGAACCCTGACAAGAAGGAGGATAAATGTTTCACTAACACTTGTTTCTGGGAGCAAAACGCACAAAAGAGAGCAAAGCGTGGAAGAATAAATATTCCCCACTTCCAACAGTTATACAGGAGTTCACGGGATATTTTTCTCTCAAAACGGTCCGATTGTCAGATAAGAAATTATTTCTGTGCTGCCCAAGTAAACAAAAGCAAGTAGCTGATTTAGCTTGACTGATTATCATATTCAAAAACCCAATGACTGACTCCGGCGGAGCACGCTGCAACATATAGCAACCGTACTTCAGCCCTGCCTGCGGGGCTCGCCGTAACAACCAGGCATTTGTCAAGTGAAATGAGAGCAGAATGAT